TGTTTCCTAGCAAGTGGCAACAAAGTGCCAAAAGAGGTCGAGGAAGTAGAGGCGCAGGGTGGAAAGACGGCGGCGTCGCCGAACACGCTAGGCTGAGGAAAAGAAAGCTTCCAGGATGCATAATGGGGTGCCTAAAAAGGTGAAGGAATCCCTATGAGAATTGGTGGGGTCCCCAAGTGCTAGACTCAGAGGAGGGAAGCTCCTGTAGAACCCAATGCTACTTGGGGCCAGCCGTCCACTGCCATCCGTACCACGTCAGCAACAGAGAAGCGGGGTCCGCTAAATTAATGGATATTAACGGACGGCAACCCCCGTCCGCTATTAACGGATCCGGGTGGCCACCTCTATTGGCCACGCAAAGGTGCGCAATCACCGGCGCCGCTTTCCATCGCCTTTAATCCTCGCAACCGATCCGTGATTCACCCGGAAATCTGATGGGTGGCCACTTGACTCGTCCAAGGCCGGCGGGTTCGAATGTTGGGGCAATTTCGCCCCGCCGGTTCACTCTTATGCCGCCGCATCCCTTCGGCTCGCTTCCCCCAGACTTTGCAAGCTCCGAAACCACTGTTGTGGTGTGGTTTCTGGCCGGGATGGGCGCCCCTTGCTGTCGCCCAATCGCCGTGGATCTCGCGGCCTCACGCCGGAATCGGCATGGCCGATCGGGGCGCTCGCTCCTCCGGTCTCGCGTGGTGGGCCCTAGTTACTGAACCGATGGTCTGGGTGCTGCTAGGGACGGATGGGCCGGCGGCACAGTGTGCTCTCGCCCGCAGTGGTTAGACGCACAAGGAAAGGGGTGCAGAATGGGTTACAAAGTCCCGCGGACTGCGTAGGACTCAAAACGAACTGCACAGGCTGACTCACCCTATATTGGGTGAGCCAGGACACCAGACAACAATGCATTATCACTGTAATATACAGAACTGTCCACCAGTGTCCCCAACAATCCAACAACCCCATTGTTTTCCCAACAGATGACCAGCCATGGCCAGAATTATGACCTCAAGGTCCATGGCTGTAACCCCCATACACACACACAACACCACCCCCTCAAAAGGGCGACCTCCTGTCAGATTGTAACTCCGTTTCTCTCACCCACTCGCGCACCCCGCGGTTCGTGCACCTCGCTGCCGCACCCGTGAGCCGCACGGCTCCGCGCACCCATTGTATGCACGGCTGCCCTGCGCCCGGCCATTCGCAAGCCTGGGCCCACACTACGCACCCCGAAGGAGCGAGCGCCCCGGATAGCCCACCGGTCATCCGGCGGAGGAGGCCCATCCGGGCCGGATTGGGCGCCATGGCGGGAGCCTCTCCCGCATCAAACCGAAAACCTTGCCAGTTCTAGACTACACAGGGCATAATTTATGCGACATTTTTGGAAAGCAATACTTGTTCTAACTCATATATTGATTCTAACATAAACATTATTGACGACCCAAAGTTTGGGTCCCAAACATTTGGTAAGGTGGAACCAACGGTATGCCATAAAGAGCTCCACAAAAGGACATTTTAAATTGGTGCTATTGGGACCATTGCTTAATAACAACGTACCTTGAGCAACCATATCTTCCAAATCCTAAAGGAAGAAATTATTTGAAAATTTTGGAATACCTAAATGTTGTTCATTGTGTAAATTTGGCAAACAACAATCATGTTTTCAATATTTTTAAAAGCACGGGATGTGCACGAGGCAAGTGCAAATACACATGAGCGAATATTTCAAACCTTCAAGCAAACACAATTGAGGAAAACCTATCCTTAAACCATTTAGTGTTATCATTTGGCCATTCTCACTGTATTTAATAGGCGAACCCATTGCAAGGTGACTATTAATTAAGCACCTAGGTGACCCTGTGTAGTTTGGATTTTTAGCTCCGCCCTCCAATATTTTAACACAAAGGAATTGGATAGAGATTGTCACATTACCATAACATTTCATGAAATTGTGCAATGCAATTTGAAAGGCCACATTGCATATGGCACAACATGAGCAGTCGAGTTGCACCAACTCATGACAATGCTTGGGTCTGTTCCCAAGTTGTCCGCACGACTAGCCAACATTGCATGTGGACAAAATACCCTTTTCAGGTCCCATCGCACAGCAGAGTTGCACACTGGACTGCAGAAAGCGTACTGAAGTCAACAAACGGGGCGCCGTTGGACAAGCACCCCCTATTGTGTCGTTTGGTTTGCCTTCAAACGTCGGGACAAGCGAAAGGGGGGGCATGTTCGACAACCTCCTGCGTTCCTTATCGTTGAGATGTCCATTCACAATCGTGGCCATTCCCGACGCGGAGGCCACTTGATCCGCTCCTTTGCTGGTGGCATGCCCGACGTGTGCGTCCAAGGTCCACCATCAAAACGGCGCTGGCGTCGGCGCAGAAGCCCGTAGTCGCATGGATGCAGCCGCATGGCCGCCGCCGCCGGCACCCGGGTGCCTTTTCACTTGCGAGCGCCTGTCAGCTGCGCGTCGGTGTGAGATGATGGGGACATGCGACCTCCGCCTTGAGCGCCCGTGCGTAATTTCTTCAGGGAGATTTCTTGGCCATGTGCGCAGCCTGGTGCGCGAGCGCTCTGATGCGCCCCCGTCCGCCCGCCACCCACGGCCTGCGGGTAGGGGTGAGTTTCAGTCAGGCCGCCGCCCGCCCGCCACACGCGCAAGCCCCGCATAGAGCGCGCTGAGTGGGCGATCCGCCGCATGATGTGGGACATCCCTCTCTGGGCCTGACGTCACGCTGGGTCCACAATACCCCCTCGGCTCCCTGGCTGGCGCCGGTGGGCCTGTCGCCGAGCATCCCCCTGTGCACTCCGGAGTGGCGGCCCCGTGGGCGTACGATGGAGTGAGGGGGGGGGGCTGAGCGCAAGCTACGGACACCCTCGCCAGCCAGCCCTGCAGACGGTCACCCGGAGCTGCCTAGGGCTGGTGCATGGGCGCTTGAGGCGGCTGGGACACTGTCGCAAGGAGCCGCGGCGCCATCCCGCGCGGAATCGAACGGAGCCATGGAGTTGCTGCCGCCGGTGTCGCCGCAGGTCTCCTGGCGCTCGGAATCGGACTTCCTGCTGCGCAAGAAGGTCATCGATCAAATGTGAGGGATCTGCGGCCCGCCCCCTCATGTCGTATCTCGCCTGGTGCTCACCCGGCTCGCGCCCGCTGACGGCTCCCGGGCGCATGCCTCCTTTGCTGCAGTCGGGCGATCTTCGGCCAGCGCCAAGCGTCCGCGCTCGTCCACGCCGGCTTCCCCGACTTTGTGAAGCGCCTCGAGCTGGTTTTGTACAAGAGCGCAGCCTCCAAGGTACGGGTCGGGAAGGAGCACATGTCCCCGGGAGCCGCGCCCCCCCATCCCCCCACCCCCGACCCCGACCGAACCGCAGCTAAAAGGCCCCAACTCGTTTCGCCTGCGCCCCCAGGAGGAGTACAGCAATCCCGTGACGCTGCTGGACCGCCTGAAGACAGTGGCGTCCCAGCTGCAGTCCCCCAGGCCGCCCGCCGCCCCCGGCTTCCCCCAGGAAGGCGGCTTCCTCCCCCCGGACCTGTCCACCCCCTTCGCCACGCGCGATGACGCGGCATTCCGGGGCACCTGCGGAGGGCAGGCCATGAGGAGCGCGTCGGACGTTTTCATGCCCGCTCTGGACGACCCCTCCTTCCTGGATCCCAGCCAGCGACCCATGCCAGGCTTCCTGGGCGGCCCGGAGCTGCCCGGCGGCGTGGGTCACCCCCACGGCGCCCTGGCCGGCGACAAGAAGGCGCGGTTCATGTCGATGATGCAGCCGGAGGCCGCCGCCAAGGCACTGATGTCGTCCGATATGTCGGAGGACGGGTTCGTGTCGCACTTCGGCGAAACGTGGTCCACGTCCGGCGCGTCGTCGGTTGCGTTCGCGGGCGCGCCGGACTCCTCGCTGCTGCTGGGTGACCCCTCGCAGATGTGGTACTCGGACGAGCTGGACATGGGGCCGGACCACGGGATGGAGACGCACTCGGGTGCCAGTCTGGACAGCGCGCCCAGGACGCCCCAGGTGGGTCCGTGGTCGCTTGACCGACGGGTGGCCGCGCTGTGGCCGCGGGGCGCCGGCCGCGGCGTTTCTTCCAAAGGCGCTGTGATCGCGAGGGGGCAGTGTTGAGGGAAAGCACGCGTTGTGCGCGAAAATGTGCGTTTCGAATGTTGCGCTGTATGGTGGGATCTCGGCACGTTTCTGTGAGTCGACCGGGGTATTCTCAGCGCGGGTGGCAGCCACGACGACCGAGCCACCGGGCGGTGCGCGACCTGGACCCCTCTGCCAGCCACGGTCGCGTATTTTTGCCCTGCCTGTTGACTGCGCCCCCTTGTCTGCGTGCGTGCAGGGAGGATTCTCGGGCGTCTCGCGCCCTGCGGCGGGTGAGTAATCCTCGAGCAACTGCAAGGGCCATTGGCCGAACTGAACGCGGGCGGACATCGGAGACCCGTCCTGTGGATGCACGTTCGTGCTAGTGTTGGTCCTTATCCGTAAATCCCTCGGGTGTCTGGTCGGCCATCCGCGGTCCGTTGGACATGACGCACACCCACCCATGTATCTTGTGGCCCGACGTGTTAGCCGTTCCTGTTCTCTAATTTTCTGCCATCAGGGCGGGCTGTCCGCCGCGTTCCGATGGATCGGTTCCCTCCGCACCCGTTCAAGGGTCCAAGGGTGCATGCATCGTACGTGGGATGCTGATGAAAACCATTGGCAAATCGCCACTGCCTAAATATAGTACCGAACACGTCGACAGGGAAGTCTGCTTGATCTCGGCGAGCACCGAAGATGCTCGGATTTGGTAGTGGGAAGCATACTATTCGTCTTTAGTGTTGAGAACTGGACAAGTTAGTGTGGCGCCTCTGACACGGGAGCGGGAGAGTCTCATGCTGCTAGTATCTGAAATTTTGCTCGTGAAGGAGCACCTGATACTGTTGTCTCACAGCACCCATTGACTTCGCTCATGCAGGCAGCAGATGTGCTCAAATTCCAGACTTGCCAAGGCGAGCTTCATGCCTGTCAGAGTACGGTGGCATTAGCATGTCTCCATGCATGGACAGCGTGAACTTGTCCCCTCGGGTGGACGGTGTCACTGTCACTCCTCACCTGTCCCCTCGGATTGGCGAAGGCGAATTTTTGGTAAGAATCGGTTTCCTTCTTGGACCTTCTTGGTGTGCTCTCTCTTTACATTGTCCAGCTGTTGCCCCCCCCACCCCCACCCACCCCCATGCCCCAAGAGTCTTCTCTTACTGGCGCGAAATTGTGCCTCAGATCGTGTCAGCCTTTTGGAACCTATTGTCCTGTAGGGTAGTCAAGTGGGCAGAGATTCGTAGAGCAAAATGCCATCTCTGTGTGGTCGCTCCTGGCTATTGACCATGAGTTTGGGGGTCACGGGATGTGTTGCTGTTGGACCATGAGCTGCATCCACGCTTGTGAGTACTGAATTGGGGATTCATGAGTTTGAGCTTATGGGGAGGAGAGCGTGCTGTTCATCATGCTTCTTGTGCATCTGCTGCAGGGTCCTCCCCATGCCTGGAAGCAGGACGAGGCTGCCATGTGGGAGGTAACGGCATCAGGGCAGGGGCCTCTGGCAGGGCGCCAAGATTCGAGCCAGCAGCTGTTCACTGGTCCACAGCTTTGCCCATCCTCAAGCTGGAGCGATCCCACAGGAACGTGCGGCAGCAGCATCGGCATCATGAACGGGCCAACGCTGGTTGGGTACAATGACAACCTGCGCACTGGAACCACCCAAGCGATGCGCCCTGGTCCTGTACCAGGCCTCAATAACCGTTTTGCTGGGGTCGTCCCAGTGCAAGGGCCACCTGGCAGGGACCTGGCAGCAGAGGCAAGTATGCCAGGGATCACGCCACCACTGGAGTATTCCGGTGCGGGTGTGATGGGCGGACAGCAGCCTGCAGGGACGGAAAAGCTGGGAACAGGACTGCAGGTTCCTGTGTCCGATGGCAGGGCTGGCAGGGATTCGATGGGTGAAGAGTTCTTGAAGTCAGAGGGCCAGATGAGGAAGTACACGCTCAGCCGCATAGCCGAGGCAAAGGCAGTGGAACCGAAAAAATGCAAGCTCCTGGGAGACATTCCAGAGAATGCTGTGGCTGGGTGCAGCATGCCCGGTGCTGGAGCAGATGGTTGTGACAGTAAGCAAGCAAGGCAGGTGGCCAAGAACAGCATGCTCCCCCCGCGCCCGACCCATTCAGGTAGCCCCAGGGATGTGACGAAGTTCTCATTTCCACACCGGGCCATTGCGGAAGGGTCGCAGGAGGGGATGAGCAGCAACAGTGGTGCGAAAGACGAACTGGTGCATGCATACAGTTGCAAGAGACAAGCATGTAGCCTGATGTGCCACCACCTCAGGCTTGTGTTTGATCATGCCAAGACATGTGCTAATCGAAAGCCAACATGTGGGAATTGTCGGTGGCTGGGCATGCTGCTCAGCCTGCATGCAAGAAACTGCCATGATCCGGACTGCCCTATGCCTTGCTGCAAAAAATAGGCTGTGTGGTGGTCAGTCAGTTGTACGCCTGTGCTGCTGTGCAGGCGGTTGTCTTATTCGAAACCCATTTGGTATGGAAATTGCACAATGTGCAGAACAGGATTTGGGTACTTCGGGTATGGGGCAAAGGGCACTGGGAAACTGTGGGAATCAAATAGCACGGTGGTATACTGTGATATCTTGGGCTCGACCTTCTGCATCGTCTTTTGAAGGTTGGAGGTCGATTGCAGACAGAGCAGGCGGAGCTGCACTGCATTGGAGGTCGAACTCCCTGACAGGTTGCAACTTGTGCGCCTGGTGCCAGTATCAAGCGCCACAATGGTTGACGCGCAAGATTTGTGTACCCTTTTGGGACAGCCGACCTTCAATGCAGCAGCTGCACCAGGATGCAGACCTCTCTTTGCAGGCCCAAGCTGTGCTTCTACATAGTACAGAGGAACTCGCCATGTTCAGAAATCGGGAATAGTTGGTAGGCACTATGGAGCAATTGTGGAGTGGCGTGATCGCCATGTGGCAATTGTGTGGTAGGGTAGTATTGTGTGCATCAGAGTTTATGCCAATAACGGGGGCGATGCATGCCACCAAACACCGAGCGTGCATGATTCTGAAAACGGATAGCAGGGCGTCTCCCTGCTGGTATCAGCTAGGTGGCTTGCTTGGATACCTGGAAGTGTTGGGGGCTGGGAGTGTACCAAAAGCTAGTGCACGTGGCATTTCATCCGCCAGAGCGACTTTTATAATTTTCAACCGTTCGCTGGGTGGGATACTGATGATTCACACATATCAACCATGAGGAGAAAACAACAATGGAAACGGTGCTGTAGCAGAGCACTGTGTGCGTGCACACTTGGTGCATAAGCCCAAATGTGGAAATTGCAGTGCTTGTTCAGAGTGCTACATGCATAGAGCGGGCTTGGTGTGGTGCGTTCATCACCCCTTGTTTGTGCATTTTTGTGCTTGTTTTTATGATGGGAATAGGGCATAACCCTGGACTCTGGGAGACACAAAGGGCTGCAACTATTGAGGGAAAGGAGCTGGACATCAACCAATAATGGCGTCGCTGCCTGCAGTGGCGTTTGAAATTGGCGCTTTCCCCCGTGAGCACCTAAGGATCATAAATGTATGGTGCCTGACGTGTTGCCTTTGTGTCGCAATAATATAAGGTGTTCAGCTGCTCTGTGAGGTGGAGGTCTTTTGACATGGAGGGGCAAGGACATTGCTGGCTCGGTAGTCAAAGCTGCTCAGCGATTGGGGCATTCGAGCCCCACGCAGTTTTGATGCCTTCACTAGGTGCTCAGTGCTTTGCTTCAGAGTGTGCGTGAGGATCCAAAGCGAATCTGTTGCCATGGGAAGGTGCACTACGGAGCATTGCGTAGGTGAGGTATTTGGAAATCGTTCTGATGCCTCGGGTGGGCAAGGATAGCTGGTGTTTGTGTGTTCCCAGTGCTGACCAATCGCCGACCAGAGTGGCTGCCAGAGCCAGGGATCGACCGGGAGGTTGAGATGCTGTCGCGAAGGACAGCAGCGCCAGGGCAGGTCGCAGCTGGTGATGGGCTGCGTTTCGCTGGGTCGCAATTTGGAAGAAAATAAGGAGTGCCGGTTGCCAGAATTGGCTTTTCATTGAAGGCTGTTGGTGATGGCGGGCAAACTCTTGACCAACTCGACCTTGTGAGCCCGTTGGGTTGCCCCATTGTTGTGGTGGCGATCTTACTCTTTTGCTTGTTTGCTTGTACATGCAGAATCTTTTGAAGTCTGATCTTTCCAGGCGTGCCTAGCTGCGTGATCGGTCGGTGGATCAAGCGTCGTTGCTGTTGCCTGCCACTCGGTTTCTTGTGTGCACAGCAGACCTCTGCTGCCACTGGAATTTCCTCGGGACTGTGAAATCGCCGGGAATTTCCAGGCTCCGCTGTCCTCAATGCCCTCTGCGTACATGGTCTGCAGACCTTCGGCATCCACGTGTGGCGTCTGTTCCACTCCGTGGTGGGCGAGTATTGCTTGTGACGGAGGAGCGATGTCAAAGGACGGTTGGAAAGTTGCATACCCATGGGCCGTATCATCTTTCCAGCAGGTTTGCCAATATGAGAGTACTGCGCTCGTCTGTGATCCTTATGATATTGATGCAAATAGCCGCAACCTGCCCCACTTCCCACTCCATCAAGCGACTCCCTCCCCCCATCCCCACCCCCTTTCCCAGGCACCCCGTGCTATTCAACACCCCTCGTCCTATTCTTCGTGATCTACGCTACTCAGGCCAATGGCGTGCCTGCAGTGGCCCGTGTTGTGGGTCTGCAGGTCACCCAGACATTTCCGTGCACTGCGGATCTGCAGATAACCCAGAAGGCAAGGATGATTGCGCTCACGCAATTCGTGTCGACCACAACTTCAGGTACACATTGCTCAAATGCCAGTGTCAACAAAAAGAGTAACTACTGCAAACCGAAATGGAATGGCGTCCCACGGGGCACAAGGGGCGCAAGGGCACGCTTTGTCGTATGTTTGGCAAATGTTGCCCACAACACAATGAATCAAGCCCTTGCACCATCGCGGCCACGTGGGACCATTGTTCCATTTGCTTTGCAGTGGTGGGTACAGCACAGCATCACTGCGCTCTCGCATTTCCCCACATCCGGTACTTCACTCCCTGTCCAAACAACATGGAACCGAAGTGCACACTCTATGGACGGAGTCTTGGAGGCGAAAAACACGGCAAGGTGGGGACCGAAGGGGGCCACATGAGCTCCGCAGACCCATCAATTTGGACATCGAGAGCCTCCAAATCGGCATAATGCATGGTTCTTACACAGCCCAAACGGCCACACGAACCAGCTGCTGCTCGGAACGAGAGCGTTGCAATCTATGATGTTCTTGATAGGTTACCGTCCATAGACACTACCAGTCGTCATTGCAAGGTGTTCTGTGCGTCACCAGATCCGGCCATACAAGTGGATGCCACATCTGGGTACTACCTGCGTCTCAAGTGGCACTCCTGGCGTGTGGCCAATGAACCATACAAATTGGCAACATGATATGAAATTTCCACATGAAGGCACGCCCTTGCTTCTGCAACTGAACGTACAGCCATTTTATCCCACGAGCTGACAAGGGGTACATACAGAGATGACTCCACTTAGCCGAATTCGACTCAACACAAGGAAGAAGTGCCTTGACTATTCCCATAATCGCATGGAGGTTGGGGATCGCTTGTCAAAGGCCTCCTCATGTCAGGATCGTCCCATTTTAGAGAACCTAACACGCATTCCCAGCGTCCCAAGGAATTCACCAGCAGTGCCATTCTGGTGCGCGCAGCCTTCCTTGCAGCAGAAGGACGATTATTCTGGAAACACCCCCTGTTGGCTGGACAAATGCTCTTGCTCCTGTTTAGCACAGGGTCCCAACACCCCTGCCCCAGCCGTTACCTCCCTGTGGCACTCTCAACCAATGGCTGGCTTCTTGGAAGGCTGTACAAATCTGTGAATGAAAACTCATGTGCCTCAACTATCGCTGCCTCTTGAGGTCGATTTCGCATGGGAGAAGCCCAGGGTGTGTCTGTGCCTCATGTTCACCGATCCCAAGCCCTCACATCCAATCAGCTGCCCAAGCTGCTCAACAGATGCGTTGATTGTCTGTTCCACACGCCATAAGAAAACAGTCAGCTGACTGCGGCTGTCGTCGAAATTTGCAGTCACCCAATATAAATTGACAGCCACAACAATTCTGAAGCACACAATTACAATTTGCACTTTTGAAACACACAAAGCACAAGGAGAAACTTGCATGCAGACACAGTAGCACAATGTCTTGCATGCAGCTAGTTTATGATATCAATGTGTTTCTGTTCCCAAGCAGAGCAACTGCACATTCTCTTGCCACTGCAATGTGCCTGGACAATAGGCCTCAAACCTTGCACTCAATATTCTGGTGGCCACTTATTAGCAGGACAATGTCGAGGGCGTCTGCTTTCCCACACCTTCACACTGTGCGCCAAGAGCTCTTGTGGCACCATTCCTTCCCCAGAACTTCCTTGGGGGCTAGCAACAGCTGCAATTGGGCTCTGCAAAGAATTCTGGTGGTCTGCTATCCTCAGCACCATGTTCCTGCCAATTGAACACCGTTGTCAATGCCACTTGTCGAACAACAGCAGTGGGGTCATGTAGGCCAACAAATTCTGCTGAATCCGACATGGAGGAAGGGGCATAGGTTGCGATGTGACGGAGTGGTCTTCCTCTGGAATCACTGCTCTGCAGTCCCCAGCATGGCCGTGCAATGGAATAACATGGCCATTGATCCACTGCAGGCCACACAAGCAAAGCCAAAAGAAACTCTCTGCAACCCATTCTTACTCTGGCCTTTACAGTGCCGATACCAGATGCAACAGTAAGGAAGGAGTGTGAAGCACTACCTCAACTCCACCAGTGTGGAACATGTATCTCTCATGTTCTTTGAAACCTCGCCCCCTAAGCCACCTCTCTCCATTTGGTAGCCATGTGACACTTCCGCACTGCTACCTGTGTATTGCACACTGAACACAATGAGACGCCTGCACTTCTGTGGCAAATGCGACCCGTCTGGAATATCAAACCACGACCAGGAGCAAAATCTGGCACTGGAATACAACCCTTCCACGCCTTATACATGCCCAGGTTAGATGGGTCGGACTAAACAGTGTAATCAAGGGATGCCCACTGTGAGACTCAGCCGATTACTGAGTCCTTGAAGAGCAGTGCAGGTACCTTCCTAACCAGGGGAATTTGATACATTGTCGCCAACAGATGGGCCAGCTACCTGCATGAAGTTTGTGCATACAATTGATCAGTCTTTTCCTCACCTTTGGATGGGATTGCACCATTAGTTGTCTGCAGCAGTTGCTGCATCTGCAATATATAACACAGCCAGAAAGGCATCAGGGACAACACATAAGCCTTGCATGTCTAAAGCTGCATACATCCGCCACAGCTCCAGTGCAAAGACCAAAAATTGCAAGCCCATCCCCTTGTCTGGGACGTCCAGTCTTCTGCTGGACATTGCTGGCCCATTCGTAAAGATCACATTTCTCACAAACCAGTACGATTTGCCATTATCTCTGATCGGTCCCACGCCACCCAGCCCACCCCACCCTGTGGGGGAGTAAGAAACTCCTCTTCGCTGCGATTGAGCATTCAAGACCACCTTTGATGGCTTGCCAACGCCTTGCACTTTCCTGCTCAGTGGCACAATGCCTGCATATCTTCTGCTAGCTTAGGGGTGGTGCTTGGACACTGAAATGTGGTATAATAATTAGAAGTACAAAGGGCAACATAAGGGCTATGTTTTGGGTTATCAACACTATGGAGAACCATCAGCATGGGGTGCAAACACACGTTCTAAAGCAAGCCTCTATGCTATTCCATCACTATTACCGAATGCAGGACATGCACACTGGGGTTGGGGCGGTGGGGTGGTGGGTGGGTAGGCGGGGGCCCCTTGCATTTGGTCAGTTTATCCTTGGGATATCATCTGACGATCTTTGCAACACGAAGTTACACGAAGTTGTGTATGCTGACGATGGCCTCCATTATGCTGACACATTTGCAAACCCTGAAATCTGATCACATCAGTGCACACACCAATGTGTGCATTTTCCTTGTTTGACCTCCCTTCTTCGTCTTGACATTGGTATTCCTGCCCTGTAGTACTCTGGGCTGGGGCTGCTTGGTTGAATAAGGACTGCCAAATTCAACAGCAGGTCACAATAAGCAGTACAAGCATTGGTTGTGTTACTGCACATGCACAAACCTTTTTCAGCTCCAGGTGCAAGGCTTGATTCTCGTCTCCAAGCTTTGCAGCCTGATTTCGTTCTTCGATGGCCTTTGCTTGGGCATCAGCGACCGCCTGTTCCAGCCACTGGAGCTGTGCAACAGCAGAGGGGCACATCCACACGATCAGTTTACAAACTCAGTTTGCCTAGCACTGATCTATCCAGTATGATCTCCACTGGACTGCGTTCCCTTCACTAAGTGCCTTCCCTCACTGCTATTTCTCCAATTAGAACAATAGCGCAGCTGCGATGGTGCACACAGCCTTGATAAATGGCACCCCACAGTAAGTAGATTGGTGCTTGAAGTGTTGACATTGCAGCATCTTACCTAATATGTTACCGCTGTGCCACTTGTTATGTCAAGGTTGTGTTCAAGCACTCTGCCAAGATCTTGAACAATGCCATCATTTGAATTTCAAATTCTACCACAAAGCTGATTCCATTCCTGCCAAACCAGTAGGCTAACCTTGTCGTCCTCAGTCTGAGACATGGTAGCCTCACTCAGCAACCTCTCCAGCTCCTCAACACGTGCCCTCTCTTCCGCCTCTCTGCGCGTCATCTGCCCATTCCCACAGTGTCAGCACCTCCTTGTAGACATCCCAGCCACAGCTCTCAGGACCCAATCCAGGTAGCACAGGGCTATTATCTGCTGATCCAGGTACCCCCAATCTGAGTGACCCTGAGTAACAGCAAAAAAACTGCCATGCTTTTGGCATGGATGCAGCTTCCATGGTGTGCAGGATCCAAGAAAATTCAGCTCCGTCGTGAGCTTGCCAGAGGCTCACCTCCTGCAATTGTTGCTCCAGCAGCTGTTGGGAGGAAGTGTACTCGCCCCAGAGGCCTTGCAGCTCCGAAGTTTGTGCGATCATCTGCTGTGTGTGAGATTTCTCCACCTGCAGCTCTGCTCGAAGCCTGGCATTCTCCTCTTTCACCCTTTGCACCTCCCCACCGTACTGTGCTGCTGCACCCTTTGCTTGAGCAAGCTCGGTCTGCATGAACACACCACAATTTGGACACAGATCGGTGCCCTGTGGCCAACAAGTTGCAAACACTTTGCCTGTTGTAGCATGAATGTATGTGCAGCCTTTGACTGCCCACAGGTCTTGGCTGTCGCAAGGGGGCTAGCGTGGCCAACACCACTGACTTGAAAAGACTTCTCCTTGTCGTGACGCCTGGCCTCTTGAATCTTGGACGCTTGCAGCTGGTCGACCAGAGACTTGAGCGAGGTGGAGCCATTTGCCCTTTGCACAACAGAGAAACTTGTATGAAGCGCAGTGATTTTCAAAACATTGGAAGCAGTGCATTCAGCGGACAGCCCCTCCTGTGCTAGTCCCGCTGGCTGCCCAACCTTCCGGGGGTTGTTGGAGGAGACCCTCTAGGCGTCTCCCTCAGAATCTCATTCGCCATCCTGGCCTCCTGCAGCTCGGCCTCGGCCTCCTCCAATCGAAGTTCCAGCACGGCAACCACCTCCTGCAGGGCCTCCGCCCACGCAATCTGAGCGGCAGCAACCGCACTCAGGTCATCTCCAGCCTCAAGGGCGCCAGGGCGAGCGACGGCGCCCCCCGACCCCGCAAAGCACCGCCAACAGGGCTTCGGCTGTGCCAACAGCAGCTCCGCGAGACTGGAGACCAGTCGACGTCCCCCAGGGTGTCAATTTGGCGCAAGTGTGACGAAGGCATAGGCCTGAAAGGCATGCAGACCCAGGGGCGCGCCCGCGGGCTGGGCTGGCGCTCCGCCGCTCCGATGCAGCATTGAGCCACGGCACGCACCGCACACTCCGCCTCTGACATATTCGCGTCCGCGGTCCCCGCCCCCGCCACCGTGGAGGCCCCCACGGCCGCCTGCCCGTCGAGATGCCTGACGTCCGCATCCTCGCGTCGCTGCGCTGGGTCCGCCATGGCCTCCCCTGCCCCGCGCAACGGAACCACGAGTGAACAAGGCTGCGCAGAAGCGCGACTCAGGCGACCCAGGTCGCCTGGGGGACACCAATCGGATGCGCTCAAGAACTGCCAATGCCGCAGGCAGCCCGAAGTCGGCAACCTCCACCCCCACCGTGCCACAGCGGTGACTGCCCAACCCCAAAGTCACGGGTGCGGCGCACGGGTGGACACACAAGCTGACGGCGCCCTGACCACAAATGGCAATCCAGCAGCTGCGCAGATGGCCGACACCTGCGGTAAGAGTCAATCACACCCGGGGCGCGACTGCTTCCCCCAGCTGGGGATCAGGTCGTTGGGGGAGGGGCCTCAAGCAACCTTCGAAGGCCAGCCGCGAGGGGAGCGGTGTGGCGGGTACTGGCACTCGCCTTCTTTGCCGGCCAAACCTAGCGAGACGCGCCCCTGCCCCCGGGGGAGCAGCGCGGATGTTGCAAACGGCGCGGGGACGACGGCCCTGGCGCGCGGCAGCAGCGGAGGCTTTGGCGTATCACTGCCGTTTGCTTGTCGGGCATGTCAGACACGAGGCCTAATCACTCCCCAGGATAATGTCGAAGCACGTCAGCGAGAGCCTTGACGTTTTCTGCCTTCCTGCCAGCCAGGGCCCGCGTGCGCGTCCCACGCGCCTGCGCCCACTGTGGCCGCCTGGGGCGCTTCCGGCGTCGAACGGCGCGGCTACACCGAACGGGGCGGCTCTGGTCGTCGGTCGCTGGGCGGCGCGAGTTCAGCGCGACCCGGTGGACATTGTTCTGGGGTCGCGAGAGGGGACGATTGGTCATGGACGTCCAGGTCTGTAAGCCGCCGCTTACTACTTACGCACCGCTTACTACTTACGCAGGGCACAGGGGCTAGGAAATCCTTGCGCGGAAGGGTGCAGACTGCCGATCGTAGAATGAGCCCAGACCAAAGTGCAGACGTTGCGGCGGCAGAGGGTAGCGTGGGGTGGTGGGGGTGGCATGGCACCCCTGGGATGGGCAACTGAGCAGGCTGGAAAGCGTGAGGCGCACCTGTTTCGCGAAAATCTCTTTCAGTACTCCAGGGACACCACCAGTACATGGGTGTTAGTGTACACCAGAGTGTTTACACCCAGATTTGGGAACCTGCTGCTGGTCCAACCCTCTCCTTATCGACCACTCCACCCACATCCCTACCCTTGCCACTTCAATTCAATCAGATGTCGTGTCACAGTCTAAAGTCCAAGGAAAATGGAAGTAGGCTGTGCAAGCGCACAAAATAGTAATAAATCCAAAATTGTGCTTTGCTCCTGTGCACATGCTGTGCATCTCAGCCCATCTCAAAACCACCCTGAGGCCTGAAACGCAGAGGACTGTCTATCAAAACAGCTCAACATTTGACAAGCCTCTAGACGGGGAACATTCTGCAACACAACATTTGCCATAGTGACAAAGGATACCCGGAAATATCCAGCTTAACAATTGTGGGCTCAATATCCCGCTTGCGCAGCAGCAGCAACCCTGGAATGCGCTCCACTCCTGCCAGCTATAGTCGTCTAAGGCTTCTAGCTGTTCTCTTCTGAGTAGCTTTGACTTTCTTCAGAAAATTTCGCGTTGGTGAATTGTAAATTTCCCTCATGGTGAGGTGCAACTGCTCTTGTGCGGTGCAACCTGTACTTCAGGGGGCCCTTCCATCCCCTACAGCGAAGTCAAACCTTTGCCGATCCGCAAGCATGTTCTTGTACTTCGTTCTGTCAGCAGGAACGTCCTACTGTGCGCATGCAGCATTCCCCAAGACAACAGTCTCAAAGGCCCATACCCAGCAATAAAAAGACCACTCAAGTCGGTTTTAGAGGTGCCAAAAAAAGCAAGGAGAAGCTACAGGATGTTATGATGCTGAGGAAGTAAACCACTGCCAGCTGTGAGGCTGTTCTATTGCATTGCAGACTGAAGACAACAAGCCATAGTCCACATTTCGGGCTCAATACGGCACTCGACACGAAGATGTCACAAGTATACCTGAGTATACATAAGTACCTGGGGGTTGCATTTAAAGACGGCCTGGAACAGCAGCACAGGGCAATAGAAGAGCACGAAACAACCTACAAGCACAGCACATGCCCCTCAACAGCCATTCCACAACCCATTGATTGCAGTGCTGGTAAATGCTGACAGTAACTGCCCGTGCCACCATCAAAGACTGAAGCAGACGAGGAACAGAAACGCACCCGACGTTGGCTGGGATCTTGTAGCTGCTTCACTTACTGTCTTGACCTGTATCAGGGCAGTGTTGGCAACAACAAGTCAGTTCAAATTTCATGAGCAACTTCACTGGACACTGAGCAGTCTGACAAGAATGCGCCATGGCATAATTTGGCACATCTGTGTACATGGATTCATAGTTGCAATCAAGACAAAGAGAAAACGAGCAGCCAGCACTGGGTGTACATTTCCCAAGAGTTCAACAGTAGAGGCTAAGGATGCCAGGTCCAGTGCAACGTTTGTTTGGTTCCTTTTCCTGCAGTTGTGTTGTCACAATGGACACCACATTCTGTACAATGGGAAGGCATGTCATGGCACCCCTGCTTGCCGCATTCGATGCATTGCACAAAAACATATCTAGTGTCAAGAATATTTGCCACAGTTATATTGGAGTCAAATCTAGTGGCAGGAGGTTTTCCGGACAATGTCTTATGCTCCCCAATGCCCATAAAGTGCTAAACTGCACCTGAGACACAACATCACAGTCAGAACATTGTCACACGACAACCGCACTTCAACCTTATTAGCCAATACTGCAATACAGGATGGAAGCGATTGCGCAGGTCAAGTCCTGTGAATCTGAGCTTCTGCAGTGGACTGGCTTACTGGTGCATTGGTCTGTTGGCTCACAACGACACTTGTACACATGCTGTCATCTTGGTCCTGGGATGGATCTTATTCTAACGCAGGATCTAAATCGGTCGGCCGTCTTCTGGACTCTGCCTGTGGTGCAACCTCCGAGCGGGTATTGGTGGTGTTTCCAGTCTGCAAGCCCAGTGCCATAGTGCCTGGATCTGGATTGTAACAAGCAATGGACAATCCAACACCACTGCCTGCCCAGCCGGCCACTGGAAAGTTCAATTCACTGTCTGCAAACCCATGAAAGCATGTTGGTAGTGCCACAGGTGTGAACTCAAAAATAACGTATCCCACCAGGAGTGAAGTGCAAAGATGATGAAGCTATAGTCATAGCAATATTTAAGCGCCCCCTGCATTCTGTCTGGCAGCAGCAAGCACAATTTCCATACTTTA